GTTGAAGTCCACAAGTCTTAAAGCTGCCAAGGTTGGAGACCCCTGGTATAGGATCGCGTGCTCAAGCAGGGGGTTGGACTAGAAGACCTCCAAGATCCCTTTCAGCTCTATTACTCTGTGTTCTATGTTCTCTGAAAAGATTCCAGCAACATAAATAGTAATTACAACCCACAATATTTCACGTATGATGGCGGGGTGGGCGGGGGAGGAAACATCTCAACTTTTTATTTAAATAATACTGGGCTGGCTTTGCTTGGATTTGCCTCCATTCTTTCGGCAGAGGAAATTCAGCAAGAACCGAAAAGAGGCTCCATGTCCTGGCATTCCAACCTACCATTTTCATAAGCCACAACCTCGGTGAAATCCATGCGGTCCACAGGGGACATTAAATGAGGTCATGATTCAATAGCTGCAAACGGCACAACTGAGGCAGAAGTGGGAAACCTGTGTTCTTAAAACAGCATGGATGAGGGATGCTGGGAAACGTAGTCTGGTGATATCTACGGGCCCATCGGCTGCCCAGCCCTGCTGGAATGGATCGTGCGAACAGTTCAATTATGAAAAGACTGTTCAGGATTAAAAAGACACTGGATGCAATATATCTTTCCTCTTTATAGCAATACAACATAACTCTTGTCAAGTCACATTTTTTTCCCCCCACTGACTGCAGCATCACTGACCACTGCTGTTAAGAGTCAGCTGGAGAAATACAGAATGGTGTTGAAATCAGGAACCACAGATAGAACAAGATGTTTTGGAACCAAATATGATAGAGCTTGCTTTCAAGTACAGAGAGATCGGAAGACGCAATATTCTTTTGACCTGGGACCATCATTACGGTAGAATCTCTCACTGTTTAGCAATCTGAGAAACTCAAACTCATCCCCACTCATTGAACCTAGGCTCCATATCTGTCAACTCGGTTTCTCTTATTCCAATAATTGATAAAAACACAAGAGGGTGAATTTTTAACACCCTGCTAATTTTTCATCCTGAATGAAAAAGCCGTCGTTGTGACTGTCCTAGGCTTTAAAATGCTTTATCATTTTAAGAAACCGAAGTCCCGCGAGAATGAACATCTTAAGCTAAAGGAGCTTTGTAGATGTATCGGATAACACCTGCCCATACTTCAAATCCAATAGACCAACAGTTGCAGAAGGTTGACCCTGGAGATGCAACTCACAAAACCAAGGTTCTCATCTCTTGATGTCTTCCAACCTTCTCTTTCATATGAACTTTGAATCTCGATGAAATTGTTCTTCCAGCAATCAGAAAGACAATTCTGGTGGGCACAGTCTGGACTTTTTATGCTGTCCAGATCGATCTAGACCTCCCAGAAAGCTCAAGATAGCTGCTTCTGTCTCACTCATGGTGTCAGAGGAAGATGAGAACATGGAACTGCCTTATCGGATATGATATGGATTACAGTCCTATAACCGTAGGACTTTGTATAATCGGCTCACTCACTCTCCAGTAGGTCGTATTTTTTTCTGAGTCAAGGTCTTTTAGACCTGCTGGTCTAGGGTCGCCATTGTGGACAATGGGTTTGGCCCTTGGGGTGACAAGGCCTCAAGGGAAGGAGGAGATTTTGCTGATCTCAATGGAAATCTGATGAGTTCCATGCCATTCTTTGGTTCATTGTGGGAGGATTCTACAACCAGAACTTTGCCAAACTTTGATGTATATACATCACCTGAGAAGCACAGCTAAATAATTATGTGATCTACCTATACATCCAAAGAAAACAAAAGCAAGAAAAGCCAACATCAAGGTGTTTTAAAATGATAAAACATTTTAAAGCCTAGGACAGTCACAATGACGGCTTTCAAAACTCCTCAAAAGAGGATCAAAACATACATTAGAATTCTATATGTTTTTGCTGTAGTCCAGGTGATCATCATGAATGTTGGAAAAAATAATTTTTGTATGTGTGGCAGGGGAGAGTATGGGAAAATCGTTGCATTTCCTATCATACAGGAAGGTAATCAGGAGCAAGCTCTACCACCTGGTTGCATATTTTGGGAGTGTGCCTGTGATGTAATGACATTGTTGCATTACATTACTTGTTGCAAAGGACATTGGAGTCAAAGTTAGCATATTTAAACTTCTCCTCAGGTCATCTCACACAATTGATCCTGGTCTCTCCAGATCTACTGGATTTCTATAATTCCCAACTAGGACAGCCAACATGGGTCTAACGTTGGCTAGAATACCAAAACATGGGGCGAACCCTCTTTGGGATAATGGAGGAATAGCACCTGATCAAAGAGGTGAAACACACGCCAAACATCTGGGAGGAAAAGATTAGCAGATGGCTAGTAAAACTGGAGCTAACCGGTTAACACTTGGACTTTCATCATTTCATGGCTAGTATGTATTTTCCTGGAATTCTGTTTTACATTCTCCATCCCAAAATCTTGACACTTCCCTCTAAGTCTGCGGGTGGGTTTATAAATCGGTGTAGGCTGGATCCAGGTCCATCCTGTGAGCTTTTCCAAAGATGAGGAATGTGGAAAGTCCAACGGCATTCACGATGGCCACGAGATTGAAAACGGAGACCCAGGAGCCAGTGTTTTCGATGAGGTGTCCAGCTAGGTACACACAAATGACACCTGTGTGCAGGGAGAAAACACAAAAGTGATTCTCTCTCTCTCTCTCTCTCCCTCCCTCTCTCTCTTTTAACAATCTTGTTTCAACACAGAGATTCTTACTTTGAGCTATTCCATTGACAACAAACAAGTTTAGATTGCTACAACTCACTCCAACTGGGGCTGTCCTTGGAGACTACCCAGAAACTGCAATCTGGGCAGAATATAGTTGCTCACCCATCAATGGGAGCAGTCTAACATTGTCTCATTGTCACAGCAGTACCACAAGAGTTGCAGGAATTGGTGGTTTGTTTCTGGGTATAATTGAGGGTGCTGGCTCAAGAACAGTTACTCCACCTAGAACAGGGTTTCCCAACTGTGGCCATTTTAAGACCTGTGGACTTCATCTCCCAGAATCCCCCAGCCTGCATATTAATAATGTGCACAGCTAATAAAAGGGGAGGGATTAAAGAGAGTTAATAATAATATTGCAGCTATACCCTATGGGTTAATATACATACACATTTAGAGGGGGAAATTCCCTTAGTAGTCCAATTGTTATTTCCTAGCAGTGGACTGGAAGCGAATTAATAGTCCATCCAGTTGGTCCTATGGATACAAGTAGAGCTGAGAAACAATTAGGAGAATGATTAATTGTTTGAAACACCATAACATACCTAGTAAAGCTCCACCTGTATTTGCCACACCTAAGGAAAGATAAAGAAAGAAGGTAAGGTATAAATTCAAAAAGTATTTTATATCCTTCCAGTCTGATCTCTGTTCTGTCATCTCTGCCTCCATCTCTTTGAATAGTTTCTTCCTGTCAAATCAGTCAAAAGGAAAATTTATCATTCTACTTGTTCTTACTTCTTTTCCTCTTCTTTATGAGGGTGTTACCATAATTCCTCTCCTTTTGACCCTACAAATAATCCTGAATCCTTTTGCAACTCTCAAGCCATTATTGATAATCTATGTACTGTTAAAGTGAAGACTGAAGAGAATGTGATTAGAAAAATATTAGACTGGGCAGAAATGAATAGGTTAACACTAGCAATCCAAGAGAAGGAAGAAATTGAATATTATATGATATGGGGTTTATTTTATCAATGGTTGGAAAATAAATATGGAAGTTAGAAATTAAAGAAGAGTAGCACAAAATAGTAAACATGTGGTAAGAATTAAAAATGTTAAGATGGGGAATGTTTGTTAGGTTTAGATGTATTATTAGATTATCATCATCATCATCATCATCACTATTATTATTATATGTATAATGCAGATTAGTATTCAGTAAGAACAGAGTATTAAAGTGAAACAATGAATATGTATAAATTATAATGGTTATTGCACAAGATATTTATACCCAGGTGACACACTGTTCAAATGAAAGATGGAATGTTTGTATAAATAAAATAAAAAAATTATATTAAAAAGAGATAATCTGTATACTGTTAAAACTCTCTTATTGTGGTAACCTTCAATTGAGAAATAAGGTGTATCACAGGGGCAACAATTTTTGAATCCATTGTTTGGCCAAGACAAAGAGAATTGAGGCTTGTCCTTTTCCCCAGCTATCTTCCCTCAAATCCCTCTGATTAAAATCATCAGAAGGAGAAAGGATGTTTCTCTACAATTTCATTGTTTCTATCCATCCATTCATTCGTTCAGTGACATTCATTCACACCCTGTGAAATGTGTGTCATTCAGATCTTAAGGCATGATACAAGGAAAGCAGGTGGGTATGACTTTGGTGGCTTAACAAAGATTAGTTAACTTATTCATGCTCTCTAATTATTCTTGACCCATGATAATTACCGGCCAGGATGTCTAAAAGATTGTTTTAATGGTTCCAATAATCTGTGTTAATCCAGATTTTTACAGAAAGCCAGAATCTTTGTAATTACAAAAAAAAAAAAAAAAATGGGTATAAGGCTACATGTTGATCCCTTTCTGGCAACTTTGCCTTGATATTTTGTGGTGATATAATTAGGGTGATTTTTCCTGACTGACTACAAAACAAGGATCTCAGAAGTAGCTCATTGAATATGACGATCTCAAAAGCTAAGAAGGATTAAGCCAGGTTAGCATTTGGATGGGAGCCTAATCAGGGATCCCAGGGCATAATCTTTACTGGCAAAATGGAAAAGCATCCCGGAAATGGAAAGTGTGTGTGTGTGTGTGTGTGTGTATTAGAAAAAAGTAATTTTTGCTCACCGAACAATAAACCAGCACATGAAGGAGCCAGATCCTGGATATTGACTGAGATGCCACTGTAGAAAAAAAAAATAAAGATGACTTACAACCAAAGCTCAATTAGCAGTTAAATTGGCAGCATTTGAAATGAGTTTAAAATTTGATTGTTTCCTTTATTAGAAGCGCCAGCAACACTAGCAAAAAGTTTCTCTCTCAACGCAGGCTAACGAGTCCGTCTGTCCGGAAGATGAATAGGGCTCTGCCATTCATCTCCGCCCCCTGCCTTTTATCCCCAGAGCCAGGGTGGGGCTTCGCTAGCAGTGGTGGCTCTTCCGTCTCAAGGACCGGCCCATAGATTTCCACTGCTCTCCTCTCCTCTGCCTTCTGTGCATCTGTGTGCCAGGCACTGGACCCAGCTGTTCCTCTTCTTCCTCAACAGCCACCTCCAGACCTGGGGCCTGTTGACTCTCCATCTGAGGGCTGACGGACAGCCCAGGCTCCACCTCTGTCTCTCTGCCAGCAACATTCCTGCTTCTCCCTCGGAGCTCTGTTTGACTTGATGCTGTCCCTGATTCCCACGCCACCTCCTCATCTGATTTGGCTGCTGGATGGGCCAGCGGACGATAGGCCACAACGATATACCTGTGTTTTTCATGCCTAACAACTTTAACATGCATGGACTTCAACTCCCAGAATTCCTCAGCTAGCATGCTTTACATTAAGAAGTTGTGTTGTTTACCTGTGGTTGAAAGTTTGAAGTCCGATACTGGCTGAGGCGAAGGCTACTGCTTGGCAAAAGCTGGTGGAGTAACCTATCCCTAAGGCAAAAAGACTGGATACCCCAGAGCCAATGACCTCAAAGGAAATCAAAAGGCAGAATTTTGGTTAATGTATTGGTTATTATTTACAGTATGTATTTCCTCTAAGCTTATCTACGCCGTTTCACTGATGTCCGATTATAAACAAGCCTCTGGAACTGGAATAAGCTTAAAGACCGAACATAAGACAAATCTAACAATCCAATACTGGTAAATAACTCCCCAAGCACCTAAGCATCCAGCACAGTATAATAATGCAGCAGAGATTACAATATAGGTAGCGATAGTTGAGCCCAAAATTTCTGTTGTAAAGTGGGACAGTTGTTAAGTAAATTTTACCCCATTTTACCGACCTTTCTTGGCACAAGAGTTACATAAGTAAGGATACCAAAATCTCACAAGGGGTCCCTATCATTGGCGCCCATGGAGATATAGCCTTTTGTTCTTTCTCTGTAACAATGTTAGAATATTACCTGCATAAACTTACGAGCAGTGATTGGTTTGCACCCTGAAAACAGAAAGACAAACAATCAGCTAATTTCATTACTGGAAGGGAGAGGGGTGGGTTGCCAGCTATTTTGGTTAAAAATCCACCACACAATATTGCAACAGGCATTTTATTTTTTATAAAAAGAATAAAGCACATACTTTTAAAGTTGGGTTAAAAACTTTAATCAGGAGTATTTGTATTCCGTTTTTTTTTGGGGTGGGGGAGAAATAATGGATTGATCATGTGCCATTAAATAAGTGTCGATTCTTAGCTACCACATCAATAGATTTTCTCTGACCTGATTTAAAAACAAAAAGGAATATAATTCTGGCAGGTGCACAAACCAAGGATGTGTATCCTTTTCGGAGATGTGGTTGCTTTAAAGAACCCTTGAGGTTTGCCAGATTTATACCACCTGCACATTTTGATGTACTAATGTGGAACTGCATCGGAAATGTTGCAAAACTTTATTGAAAACCATTAGTTCTCCTTTGCCTTTGCTATTCGTCGCATCCTATCTTTAATTTCCCCCCCTTCCTCACCCCAGTTAGAAGCAACACTTTTCACCTTTGAATTTCCCAAGAAGTAAATACCGTATTTCCCCGAAAATAAGTGTCTTATAATTTTTCTGCCACCAAAAAAGGCACCAGGTCTTATTTTGGGGGGGGGGGGGGGGGATGTCATCCACTGACCAACCTCACTTGTGCGCATCGCCTCCTTTTCACTGTCAGAGGCCTTCAGGGACATTTTTTTGTGGCCAGCAAGGCTTTCCTGAAGGCCTCTGACAGTGAAGTATCGACAGGATCGATCCGGAGCTTTGTTATCAGCTACAGAGGCTTTCAGGAAGGCCTTGCCAGCCTCGTAGAAGAAATGGGCCGGCAAGGGAGGTGTCAGGATATGTGAGGTCTGGGGTACAATTGTCCAAAGGTAAGTAGTAGGGAAGCTCCACCACCCTCTATCACCACCATAGCTTAATTTTTACCCGTCCACTCTGGAGTGGGTGGGATCTTAATTAGGGCTTATTTTGGGATAGGGCTTATATTGGGCACACGTGTAAAAATCAAGCGAGGACTACCTGTCAGGATAGGTCGTATTTTCGGGGAAACGGTATTAAGGAGAGAAACTTTAAATCACTGCAAATCAACCATACTGTTTTCCCAACCCTGAACAGTAGCAGCAGCATGTCACTGTTGGGTTCTGAATGGACAACTCAGAAATTAAAGGAACAAAGAACAAAATACCTTGACTGACACATTGATCCGAGAGGAATCCAGCAAACAAACTGAATGGAATTGCCACCAGCCAAGGAATTACATTAAAAATCCAGCCCTGGGGGGAAAAAAAAGGATACTGCAGAAATAAGTATCTGTAGAGCTTCCATGCTAAGAAATTCCAAGAAAAGAATCACTAAGTGGCAGCTATAAAGGTTTAAAGCAGGGATGCCCAGTCTTGCCAAATTTTAAGACTTGTGGGTTTCAATTCCCCAATTCTGGGAGTTGAAGTCCACAAATCTTAAAGTTGCCAAGGTTGGACACTCCTCCTTGAAAGGATTAACTAAGTTGACTAAGTACCATCAAATCATTTCCATTTCCTACTGATCATGGTTTCTCTTCCTGGCCACCTATCCCTAACCTGGTTAAGGTCTTCTAATGGTGCACTCATCACACACACACCCAGTGGAATCTTTGCTGTTGGTTGTCCTCTTCTCTTTTCTTCTACCTTTCTCAGTATCAAAACCTTCTCCAGAGAGTTGGGTCTTCACATTTGGCCCTGCCCACCTGCCCCTGCTCTTTCCTGTGCTTTATTTCCTGTTTTTTTTAGCACAGCTGATTCACGCGGATTGCTCTGCCGTGCCTCCGCTGTTTTAGTCCCAGGGTTTGCAGTAGAAGGTAAGTAATTGAGTTGAAAATGGGCTGTTCCCTGATACCACTAGATGACCTCGCTAGGGCTCGCTGCCTTAGAAGAGTGAGGAAAATTCTCAGGGACAGCTCACACCCTGGTCAGCACTTCTTCACTCTCCTACCATCGGGTAGGACATATAAAGGCATAGCCAGCTGTGCTGTCCAGCCAGTTATAGTCAGTGGGAATTGGATAGTTTGTTAGGAATTGGGAGCTGTCTCCTTAAGGAAATGCATCATGGTAAATGTAGTTAAGGTATCCTGGAAAATGTAGTTCATGTCATGTGGCCATATCTGTAATCCTGATTGGTCACTGAATTGACCCTTGGTGGGTTGGGGGAGGTTTCTTCACTCTTGCTTGAACACATGGTAGCATCTCTACCCCCTGCTTCTACAACATGGGATGAAAGGGATAAGAGATAACCGAAGGATTGGACATTAAGAAGAATCTCATCATAACTGTGAGTTATTGAGGATGCCTGATGAACCAATAAAAAAGTATGGATGCTTTGTGGAGTTTACCTATCTGCCTTTGTACAGGACACAATAGCAGCCACACCAACAGGCTGAAGAACAGTTTCAACCCGTGGGCTGTCAGACTCCTGAACGGAAAATAACTTCATGTCAACATAGTATGATAGACTTGTGGGGCCGGCGCAATGTGTAACAAGGTCACGTAGTGTAATAAGATTGGGACTGAGTTAGGGACTTCTGTCTTCACTGTGAATTGTGTTGGGGGGTGCACGAAGGGAGGCTCAGCCAATCTCATTGTACACATGTTGTACTCCGACAATAAAGGTTGATTGATTGATGTAGTGCATGTGTGTGAAGCACGTGCTCACCAAACCGGTTGTTGGTGGGATTCAAATTTTTTTACTACCTGTTCTGTGGGCGTGGCTTGGTGGTAATGGCAGGGGAAGGATACTGTCAAATCTCCAGTCAGAGGTGGCATTTGCCAGGTCTCCGAACTACTCAAAATTTCCACTACCGGTTCTCCAGAACCGGTTGGAACCTGCTGAATACCACCTCTGGGTTGTTATACCAGTTGAATTGCGCCATTGGTCCAAAGTAGGACAGTTTGATGTTGGTCATTTGTGCCTTGAATGTGAACCCTGGGTTGATTTATTCGATGATCAATTTGTTTAAGTGAATCTGGCTTCCTTCTTGATTTTGCTTGTCAGAAATTCAAAACGGGAATCACATGACCCAGGGACATTACAACCGTCATAAATAGGAGTCAGTTGCCAAGTGCCTGAATTTTCATCCCACGACCATGCGGGGTGCTGCAATGGTCGTAAATGTGAAAAATGGTCATAAGTCACTTTTTTCAATGCCGTTGTAACTTTGAATGGTCACTAAATGAACTGTTAGTAAGTCAAGGACTTGTGAATGAAATAATTAAAATACATGCACAAATCAGTGACACAGGGGAAAATGGGATAGCTTTTTTGACCAGGAGCACTAAAAATCATTATTCTAATCTAGAAGAACCTGAGAGGCAAAAAAGTGACATTCTTCACACTGTATGACAAACAGGGATTATTTTGTCATTTGCAGGTCTGACCACTAGGGGGTGCTACTCAACCACAACAAGGCTTGCTATCCAAATTTCAATTTGCAGACACTGTGCTCACCCTTTACTAACCTTAAGTAGATGCAAAGTGGAGGGAAACTCCTGACAATTATTTGTTTACTTTTCACCACTGGCATTTATGCCTGATTTCCTCGGAGCACCTCGGGTGCCATAAAAAGGAAGACAACTGAGAACACAAGATGCTTTTCCAAAAGGCATCGAGATTTTCTTGATTATTATTTTTTTAGCAGAATAACAGAATTGGAAGGGACCTTGTAGGTCATCTAGTCCAACCCCCTGCCGAAGCAGGAAACCCTACACCATTTCTGACCAGAGGGCAGTCCAGTCTCTTCTTGAAAGCCTCCAGGGATGAAGTTCACACAACTTCTGAAGGCAAGTGGTTTGATTGGTTGATTGTTTTCACTGAAAATGCTTCACTTCTCGTCCAAGACACTTCTTCATATCTGACTGAATAGTGGGGAATGGAAAGATTCGCAGTCATCTCGTTTTTAGTGTGAAAAACGGTCATAAGTCCATTTTTTAATAACTTCGAACAGTCACTAAATAAATGGTTGTTAATCTATGACGACTGTTGGAAGAAAAATCCACTTCCAGTTCCAAGCCAGGAATAAAATGGAGGCTGATTGGAAAGAAAGCTGGTTTATTGATGAAGCAGAACCACCAGCAGCATGTAGTTCTGGGACAGCTGACAAAATGGAGTTGAGAATGAGGGTTTTTATAATACCTTCTGGATTCCTATGGGGTCATTTAGGGGTCATGGCTGGCTCTATAGGTAAAAGGGGAAATGCAAATCTTAAGTGTTTGTCTGAGCTAATCTTGTCAACCTTTAGCTTGTTGCTTATCTGGAGTTTCTGTCTGACCCAGTCTTTCTGAATGGATTATCAAATCTGCATTTCTAAAAGCTGGCCTCCTCAGTTTCTGCTTGGGGCAGGGAAACTGGGGGCTGGTTTCTGCCTCCCTTAACATCTCCCCCCATTTCTCCTTCAGGGGAAATATTCTGTCCTGCCTTTTTAATATCCCCAAAAATATTTCATTCTCTAGGAGGGTGGGTGGGTGCTGACTTTCTACACTACCTATATTAAAATCCCATCAAACAATCATGAGAAGCAATAGCGGAGGTGAATGAGTCCATTTTAATTTTTAATACAGTCAACATTGATAAGCGTAAGCCATACAAAGAAAAGCTCCGTCATTTTTAAAAGTGGGAAAGAGACAAAAATGGAAGAAAAGTTGGAGGTGCTTCATCATTGGAGGTTTTTAAGAAGAGACTGGACAGTCACTTGTCTGAAATAATATAGGGTCTCCTGCTTGAGCTGGACTAGAAGATCTCCAAGGTCCCTTCCAGCTCTATTCTGATTCTAAAAAAAGATATTGAGGCTCTAGAAAGAGTACAAGAAGAACAACAAAGATGGAGGCTAAAACATACAAAGAACGGTTATAGGAATTGGCACAGTGGTTATAATGTAGTACTGCAGGCTACTTCTGCTGACTTCTGGCTGCCTGCAATTTGGCAGTTCAAATCCCACCCAGCTCAAGACTGACTCCGCCTTCCATCCTTCCGAGGTGGGTAAAATGAGGATCCAGATTGTTGGGGGCAATAGGCTGACTCTGTAAACCGCTTAGGGCTGTAAAAGCACTATGAAGCAGTATATAAGTCTAAGTGCTATTGCTATCCTGATTGATAGATTGACTCTCTTGAAGAATGCAAAGTTTACTCCAGGGTCGAACAAAACCTCTGTTCTGACCAAGGCTTCCTGAGATCACACACTGTTCCCAAAAAACCCCTTTTTTAACAAATTTCAACGGCTGTGAATTATATGCATTCACAGCCCGTAACGAGTCCCAAACAGTTTGTGAATAGTCCAACAGAAGTCTGCCACAGTCTTTTGAGATAAGGCTGATAAGCACCCACCTTTATCTTCCTTGAAATGCTGCCAACAACTAAATTGCCAATTAGCTGTACAAGAGCACAAAGTCAACACGGAGCTTCAGATTTTAAATCAACCAGAACGAACAAAGTTGCTTCCTGCAAAGGCTCATGTCCTTTTGCTTGTCCTTTATGTCTTATGGGAGGAGCCAATCATCTCCAAGCCTTACTTTCGAGTTGCCCCTTTCGTCTTAACTGTTCTTGCCTTCTGGCAGCTCTGCACAAGCGCGCACTGGGAACAGGCTCTCTGATGTCAGATTCTGGAGGCTCTGGAGTCAGCACATAACTCTCAGGTGGCCCTGGCCCCATCTCTGTGTCGGACGCAGATCCCTCATCCAAGCCCTCCCCAGACTCCAGAACTGGCCCATGTTCCTCTCCAGTGTCCGACTCTGCTGTCAGCTCTGCAGGCTGCCGGCAGACCACAACAACTTTTTCCCCCCTTTCACATGAAGGATATGCACTTACCTTTGAATCGGGAAACGTTTCAGTGAAGAACGTCGGTAGCCAGGAGAGCAGGGTGAAGAAAGTGCTAGCCGCGCACAACTGAGCAATGATCACCGCCCTGGGGAAATCCATCACCAGGTTCAGGGGAATTTCACAAGTGCATACATGCAACATTTTCTCAAAGACTTTGAAAGGGTCACAGCTCCCAGGAAGAGCATACAGGTGGCCCTTGATTTATAACCACCAATGGGGACAAAATATCTATTGCTAACAAGGAGGTTAAGTGAGTGGTGCTGAATTTTATGGCCTTCCCTGCTCTGGTTGTTAAGCAAATCGCTGCATCGATTAAGTGAATCGTGCAGGCGTTGCTGCAATGGTGGTAAGCATGCGAACTGGTTGGGAGTCACTTTTTATAGTGTTGTAACTTTGAACAGTTGCTAAATGAATGGTTGTAAGCCAAGGACTACCTGTATATGGTTTTTCCTCTTTCCCTCCTTTCCTCTCTCCTTCTCTCTTTTCTTCCTTCCTTCCTTCCTTCTTCTCTTCCTCCCTCCCTCCTGTCCTTCCTTGCTTCCATCTTCCTTCCTTTTTCCTATCCCCTCCCTTCTTTCCTTCCTTCATTCTTCCCTTCCTTCCTCCCTCCCCTGTCCTGCCTTGCTTCCTTCCATCTTCCTTCCTTTTTCCTATCCCCTTCCTTCCTTCCTTCCTACTCCACTTTCACCCTCTTTCCCTCTTTTTTCCTTCCTTCCTTCTTCCTTTTTCCTACCCCCCTCCTTCCTTCTTCCTTTCCTCCCTTCCTGCCTTCTGTCCTTCCTTCCATCTTCCTTCCTTTTTCCTATCCCCTTCCTTCCTACTCCACTTTCACCCTCTTTCCCTCTTTTTTCCTTCCTTCCTTCTTCCTTTTTCCTATCCCCCTCCTTCCTTCTTCCTTTCCTCCCTTCCTGCTTTCTGTCTTTCCTTCCATCTTCCTTCCTTTTTCCTACCCCCCTCCTTCCTTCCTTCCTTCTTTCCTTCCTTCCTTTCTCCTTCATACCTTCCCTCCCTTCCTTCTCCAGAAAGGATGAATAAGCAGGGGAATGCAGCAATGAAGACCCTCATTCTCATATTCATTTTTCAAGGGAGACAAGCGGTTTAAGGAATCAGATTAGAAAACCCCAAAACTGTGACAATTGAACAAACTGTAAATGCTAACAGGACAGAAACTTACCAGACGGGAGGCTTTCTAAATATTTTTCTCCAAGGCACTTTGGTCGGTTTGGATGATAAGGAAAGACCCTTTGCCAAGTCATGTAGTGAGACTATTATTTCTGCAAAATATAAACAGGTATGTGGTTATCAATAGGAAAATGCAAAACCCAGTGATTTGGGAGGAGAGATTTTGGCACATCCTGTGTTCGTAGTATTGAGCAGAATCCTGCCCTCCCCAGAACTGCAATCGTAAATGGCTCTCTAGAGCCACATTAACCACAAGAACTAGTTTGCTGCAAAGGATAAATGAAACAATACTAGTACAATTGGTTCTAAATCAATTGCAAAGCAAGAAATCTGCAAAGTAAGCTATCCATGAGTCAAAAAGGTACAAGAGGGATCCAGGCAAAATCCTATAGGTCAGTGGTGGGAGTCAAAAATTTTTTATTACCGGTTCTGTGGGCATGGCTTGGTGGACGTGGCTTGGTGGGCGTGGCAGGGGAAGGATACTGCAAAATCTCCATTCCCTCCCCATCCCACTAACCTGCTTTCCAGCTCCGTTCTCCTGTGCAGGGCAAGGAAAGAAGACCCAGCCAATCAGCTGGGACTCGGGAGGCAGAGAACAGATGGGGGTGGGGCCAGTCAGAGGTGGGAATTTCTCCGAACTACTCAAAATTTCCGCTACCGGCTCTCCAGAACTGGTCAGAATCTGGACAGTCTCTTAAAATGGTATAGGGTCTCCTGCTTGAGCAGGGGGTTGGACTAGAAGACCTTCAAGGTCCCTTCCAGCTCTGTTCTGATCGAGAGATGTCCTATAGATAGGTAAAAAAAGATGTTACTTACCTTTTTGTGGCAGGATGAATTTACACATGCAGTACACCCAGAGCAAGGTGAGCAGGCCTGAAAGATAAAAGACGCTTTCCCATCCATACCAGTCAAGCAGGAGGGAGCCAGCCGCCCCCATCACCAATGTCCTAAAAAGGGGGAGAGAGAAGTAGGACGGTACACAGAATTGGTAGACCAGAATCTATGTGGGAGGTGGCCAGGATGAGCCTGAGGGAGGGGTGAAATGCGTCATGAGTCTCGAATCCCTTTGTGCCCACAAGAGAACTAAGTCCAGCCAACCTTGAATTTCAATGACTTATTGACTTTATTTTTTATTTCATTTATTTATTTTGTCAAACATGCATTTGATAATATATATGAGTGTAAACAGGATTATGAATACATGAAATGGAATCAAATAAAAAGAGAACATTAGGACAGGGACGGTAGGCACATTGGTGCACTTATGCATGCCCCTTACAGATCTCTTAGGAATGGGGTGAGGTCAACAGTAGACAGTCTGAGGTTAAAGTGTTTGGGGTTAGGGGAAGAAACCAGAGAGTCAGGTAGAGTATTCCAGGCATTGACCACTCTGTTGCTGAAGTCTCATTTCCTGCAATTGAATTTGGAGCAGTTTATCTTGAGTTTGTGTCTACTTTGTATCTACGGTGTGCTCTTGTATTGTTGTCATTGAAGCTGAAGTAGTCATTGATGGGTAGGACATTGTAATGGATAATTTTATGCACTATGCTTAGGTCAGACCAAAGGAGGCGTAGTTCTAAGTTATCTAAGCCTAAAATTTCAAGTCTGGTGGCATAAGGAATTCTATTGCGAGTGGAGGAGTGGAGTATTCTTCTCGTGAAATATCTCTGGACTCTCTCGATTATATTAATGTGCGATATGCAATGCAGATTCCAGACAGATGAGCTGTATTCGAGAACTGGTCTAGCAAATGTTTTGTATGTTCTAGTTAGTAGTATAATATTACCGGAGAAAAAGCTTCGCAGGATTAGGTTAACAACTCTTAATGCCTTTTTGGGAAATGTTGTTACAGTGGGCTCTAGCACTTAGATCATTAGAGATGAGAACTCCAAGGTCCTTGACAGAGTGAGAGTCGTCTACAAGGTCTTGTCCTTCCAACAATGTATTTTATTTTTTGATTTTTCTTGCCAATATGTAAGACAATTTGTTGAGATTTGAAGTTGCCACTTGTTTGACCATTATGACTAATCTGCTGCCAATTTGTTTTGACTGTTATCAACAGCCGTGAGGGTGCCGTGATTAGTAGGCACTACTGCAAGCTACTTCTGCTGACTGCCGGTTGACTGTGCTTCAGCAGTTCA